GAGCAAAACCTCTTTCCTTTGAATCCATCTAAAAACAGCCTTTTACTGAGATGCCCTAGAATTCACAATAATATGTTGTTTTATTGATTATAATGAGCCCGTAACCAAACTTCACTCAGGATGAAGTTGGCCTGGGGATCTTGGATACATGAGTATCAACATTTGATATAGTCTGTCCTTTTTTCATTTTCGATCTACTGGTGAATATTTAGTACAATTCAGATTTGATTTGACTTTGCATTTTCCCTGTGACTTCATATATTATGATAAGTACACAAGTACATGCACTAAGACACAATGACTAAACACACTAAATTCACAGTGATTAAATACCCTATGACTAATTCATTTTCCCATGGCCATACATTTCTTGGCTATTTCTATTTGTTTACTTCCTTTTTCACTGTTTTGCTCATTTTTCTATTGGAATAATTGTGATTTTTCTCTAGTGATTTGCACACATTTTTTATATATTTTATATCAAGACTTTTCTCAGTAAAAAATAATATATATGTCCTATATAAAATTTCTCAATATAAAATTATATATATATATATATATATATATCCTATTAGTGCTGTGCCTCTAAGAGAATTCTTATAGAAATGAAGCTAGTAAATATTTTATTTATAATGAATAAAAAATAATGAAATGCATCATCTCAGATAGGAAAGTTTTTTGGAGATCAAAGTATATATGACAATTACAATTGACAATATTATTATTCTGAGTTTACCAACCTTGCATATTTGGTAAAAAAAAAAAAAAACCCTTAAAGGCTGTGTTTAGTAAAATAATTACGTTGTAAAATCAATATTATATTTTTTACTATCAACTTATATATTGCCACACTTCAAGTATATATGTATTCTGCCTTGTATCTACACATACACACACACACACACACACACACACACACTATATATATATACATATATATATATATATATAATGAAAGATTTATGAATCAGTTAGAATATTTAAATAGATCTGAGAGTAACTGAAAATATAAAGTTAAACCAACCAAAATGAAGCACAGGTTTATGGTTAAGTGACAACACAAACCACAACATAAATGCATATATAAAACCATCTTTATTTCCTCCTAGGTTAGAGAGTGATTTAGCTTAGGACTTAGCTAAGTAATGTAAAAGATGCTTTGAGAAAATACTCTCATCTTCCAAAGACACATTATAGCCATGCTCATATCTCCTTCCCTTTTCCTATTTTCTTCAACTTTAGCCCACTATCATTCAATATTCATTTAGGTTTTCAATTATTGAGGGCTGTGATTTCCAACACATAAGGCTTTATCTAGCATGAAGCTTGATTAATAGAGATTAGTCGACTATTTATAGAATGAACAGGTCACGATGGGCTGGTTAGTAGAATGAACAGGTCACGATGGGCTGGTTAGTAGAATGAACAGGTCACGATGGGCTGGTTAGTAGAATGAACAGGTCACGATGGGCTGGTTAGTAGAATGAACAGGTCACGATGGGCTGGTTAGTAGAATGAACAGGTCACGATGGGCTGGTTAGTAGAATGAACAGGTCACGATGGGCTGGTTAGTAGAATGAACAGGTCACGATGGGCTGGTTAGTAGAATGACTCCATTAACACTGTCACTTCAAATCATTAAAATCTATACTACATGACCGGCACCCAATGAATTGATTATTCGTATAAATTTTAACATAGCCATTTAATTGTCCCATCACTCATAAAACATATTAGTTTTAATAGAAAAATTGTCATGCACTACCAGCTGCTAAATTTCATTTTTTACCTGTCTGCCATCTACTTTGGCAACATATAATTAATTTACAAATTAAATTAAAAAATATAATGATGAATGCCATATAATAATATAAACTAAAATAGAAATAATGATTTAATGAAAAACAGATTCTTTTTCAAAAGAATTCATGAAAATATTACATTGACATAATGCAACATTTAACGTGATATACATACAATGATAACATGATAAAATACTAGCACATGCATCTGTTTTCTGGATAGTATGCCATTTCCAATAGCACCATTTCCTATTCCCCCCCACACACACATAGCCAGAAGTCACACAAAAGATATTGTCTGCTCACAATTATCAAGAGGCTTTAAATGCAATTGAAAATTCAAATGTTCTATGAAATATTCAAAATAAAACCAAGAAAAATGTCAGGAAATGGAATTTTATATGTGATTGTGTGTGTGTGTGTGCGTGTGTGTGTGTGTGATGTGTAATTTTAGCCTTACTTTTAACTCAGTGGTGAGAGAAAAAGATTTTGCCATACTTGCATCATTTCTGCCAACATTTCTGATATTTTTCCTTTGAACTATTATTAAATCTTTAGGATTAAAAAATTCCAGAACTACTTACACAGATAAAATATGTTTAGCAATGTATCATGATGTTATTGAAGGACAGAAAATAATGTTTTTGAGTAATCAGGTTGCTCCACTTAATCAAAGCTTGCTTAATTAGGGAGCCCTCTTAATTGGGACTTTCCCATCTTATCAAATCGAGCCTAATAACACTCAACTGTAAAGACAGGTGCTTAATTGGGATAGTAATTCTAGATAATTGGGGGTGCCTGCGGGTAACCAAGAGTAGCTTACATCAATCTGATTTGAAGATATTATGCCTTTGTAGGTGTCTCCTACTGTGCTTGTATATTGGCTCTCCAAGAATGACCTCTCTCCACTGTTAAATGAACAAATCTCCTTTTAGCACTGACTGCTGGAATTTTCTATTTCTATCTCAGTTTTTAATCACACTATGATTTTTAAATTGTCTTTTATTATAAAATAACTACATGTTATTTTACATATGATAAGTTTATTATTAGTTTGCACTTTCAACTGAATTTTAAAGCAAGTAATTAGTACATAAAAAAGCTAGAAAATCAAATACCACAGTTTAAATATGCCATAAGACACTAAATTATAAAAATAACGAACACTTCTGAATCTCTGAAACATAATAATTCATCATGTGTAAACAGATTACTTAGCTTAATTATTTTACTTACATATCATTTAGAAATTCCAATCCCTACTATATTATGTGTTATATTGGGCATATTCACAGATTTCAGATTATTTGTCTAGTATCAAAATGCTGGTCCAATTCTTCCCAAATAGCAGATACTCAAATAAGATAACTGAATTTGGAAGCATAAAGTTTATTCTATTTAATTAGCTGTTTTAAATTAAATTAAATTATTAAAACAAGACACATAATAGAATTTCATTTTATTCTGTTTCACTTATGAAGCTTGCAAGCTCATTGGATAAGGTAGAGTTTTCTATAAATATATTTCCAATTAAAACAAAGTTTTTTCTTTGATTCTTTGGAATAGAATTTTTAAAGAGAGTGATGTTAATATTCATGTTTCTCCCTTTAAGTCAAGACACATAATGGATGATTTTAAGAGCCATAGAAAAGTTATGCTAACTTACTGTAAATAAAAATTTTGTATGATTAAATCCCTGACAATCTTTATTAGGCTGTGCTAAATTACTAATTTTAATAACTTTACAAAGAAATATTTAGATATGGCCCAGTTTTGTAAGCATGAACTGTCATTTGAACATATATATGCTATATTTTATATTGTTAAAAATCACTTGAGTAAAACATTCTAGAAGAGAACAATTTCCTAATAAACTTAACCTAATTTTAAAATTTAAATATTATTCGAGTTTTATTGTATGTGAGGCTTTCTTTTTATTTTAAATTTCAAAAGTGAAGACATGTTTCCAGTGAAAATAAAATTGGCAACGATTTCAAATGATGGAAAAGATGTAGAATAACAAGAACGCCCATTGACTGCTGGTGGAAATACAGAATGGCATAAAGCACTTTTAGGCCGTGTTTGGTATTTCTTAGGAAGTTAAACATAGTCTTACCATAAGATCCACCAATCACACCTATAGATATATACTTCCATCAAGTTAAAAATTTACATTTACACAAAAACCTGCATATCAGTATTGATAGAAGCTGTATTTCTAATTGAAAAAGAAAAGAAAAAGGCAGCCAATATGTTTTGAAATAGCTAAATGAGCAAACTCTTTATATTCATACAGAGAGATTTTATTTAGTTATTTGAAAAGAGCTATGGAACCAGGAAAAGCACAAAGTAACCCTAAATGCATAGACTTAAGCAGAAGAAGCCAATTTGTAAAAGATACATGCCGTCTTATTCCAACTATATGACATTCTGGAAAAGGGAAAGGATAGAGATGCTATAGATAAAGATCATTGTCCAGATGTTGAAGAAAGGGAGGGACAAATAGGTGGAGCACAAGGGATTTTTAGGGCAGTAAACCATTCTATTTTACATTCTAAGGGTGCATCAATGACATTCTGCATTTGCCAAAACCAGTAGAACTTACATAGCAAAAATAGTGAAACTTATTGTAAACTTTAGTCAATATAGACTTTAGTGAATGTGAATATATTCGAATATATTAAACAGATTAAAAAACTGTAACAAACTTGCCACACTAATGCAGAATGTTAAAAATAGAGGAAAATGGGGTTGGGGGTTACATGGGAGCTCTCTGTACTAAATTCTCAATTCTTCTGCGAACTTGAAGCTATTCTAAAAATAAAGTATTAATTAAATAAACATTAACTGATCTATTGAAATGAAGAAGAGAAAAACAACAGATACAGGAGAGTCTGAGGAGAAAAGTGAAAGCTTATACACTTGTTGACGGGAATTTAAATTAGTGCAGCCATTGCGAAAAGTAGAATCTACATTCATAGATTTCTCTACTGAGTATACATCCAAAAGAAAACAAATATTCTACCAAAAAGACACATGCAGTCAGATGTTCATGGCAGCAATATTCACAATAGAAAAGACATGGAATCAACTTACATGCCCATCAATTGTGGATGGTATAAAGAAAGTGATACATTTACACCATAGAATACCACACAGCCATAAAAAAGAAGAAAATTATGTCCTTTGCAGCAACTTGAATGCAGCTGGAGACCATTTTCCTAGGTGAATTCAGAGCCGTTATCCTAAGTGAATTGATGTAGTAACAGAAAATCAAATACTGCATGTTCTCACAAGTGGCAGTGAAACATTGGGTACTCATGGACATGAAGATGACAACAATAGATACTGGGACTTCTGGAAGAGGGAACGAGGTAAGCAAATTTTGACAAACTGCTTTTGAGTACTATGCTCGATACTTGGGTGACAGAATCATTTGTTGATGTATCTGGTTACCTAAGAAGTTACAGTTAAATGTATTCTTTGGAGGCCTCCATTAAGCATGTGTGATCAATTTTACCAACATACTACAACTGTGTACTTCCCAACACAATCATTTTAAAACTTAGTACACTCAATTTTTTTCCTTTTGTGAGACTGAGTCGTGCTGTCACCCAGCTTGGAGTGCAGTGGTGCAATCTTGGCTCACCGCAATCTGTGCTTCCTGGGTTCAAGGAATTCTCCTGCCTCAGCCTCTCCATTAGCTGGGATTACAGGTATAATCTCAGCCACCGTGACTGGTTAGTTCTTGTGTTTTAATAAAGACAGGGCTTTACCAGGTTGGCCAGGCTGATTTTGAACTCCTGATCTCAGGTTATCTGCCTGCCTTGGCCTTCTGAGTAGCTGGGATTACAGGTGTGCTCACCATGGCCAGTTAATATTTGTGCTTTAGTAAAGACAGGCTGGTCTTGAGCTCCTGACATCAGATGATCCATCCATCTCGGCCTCTCAAAGTGCTGGGGTTACAGGCGTGAGCCACAGCGCTCAGCCAACTTAATAGTCATAGAGAAAACAGCACTGTAAAAAGCGCATTAAGAGAGAAAAATGCAGATACAACTTAAACAATGTATCAATCCTTAAAATGAGCAGAGGTTCACAGCATACCACCCAGAAATATGGGCAGGCAGTATTTATGGACAGAAAAAGAAAGTGACATACAGCTTGACTGGTGGTTGGTCATTTGCCCTATTTGGAAGGGGTGTGATAAGTCATGTGCCTTATATGGATATGATTTTCTTAGTTGGCAATCTGTGATTGGCTAAACTCAATGTCATAATTTGACAAGACTTACTTGTTTGTATAAAAATATTCTAAGTTATGTTTATGGTGACTTACCTACTAGGCTAGCTTGCGGTTCTCTACATAGAAACTCAAAGTATTGGGGCAGCTTTAGGCCAAATTTAGTTTAATTTAACAATTCTCCCTTTTTGTTCAGCCTCTTAATTTTGAGAGGCTGAGGAAAACTTTGGACATTGACACTATTCTTTGCCACCATCACAACGAACTGGCTTGGTTTCAGTATGGAATTCATAATTCATGACATTAATTGAATGATTATGTTCTCTTTCTGTTTTCACTATTCAAATGTGGCAAGAGCATTGAATGTATAATGGAAGGCTACATGAGAGAATTAGTACTGGCCTATTAATTATCACTTTAATCTTTAGCAACTATGAATTAGCCTTATTCATAGTTAACACTGTAATATAAAATACTGTAGATTAAAATTTTATAATTCATAAAAATAGATGCTTTCTGAAGGTAATTTTTAAAATTTATTAGCAGACTCAAACATATTTAGATTCCCTATATCATATTAAAACTAGATGTTAAAAGCACATAAAATTAAACTTATGTTCAACAATTAATGATTTAACAATTTATCTTATCTGAAATAATATAAATATTCAGGAATATTTATCATTTAGCTTAGCAAAACTCCAAGAATGTAAGTTAAAAATGAGAATGGAAAGCTATTTTTAGGTAGTTATATTATAACACCAAACCAGCTAGCTGCCATCAAGTTATTTTCCTGGTTACGGCTTGGACTGTGTGCACAAGTTAGATGTAATTACAAAAGCAAGAATCTAAGGAGTTAAATAAAGGACTTGTTTTTTCTTGTTTGGAAACTGTACTTGATATACATGATATAATGAACACTGCACTTTCACTTAAGTCTTTGTACTTAGGTTAAACTAGTAGTTTGATGATTCTTAAAAATATTTAATAGAAACAAAAGTTGTGGTCTGTATTACATTTAATATTGAAAACTAAATGCATGCCTGTTTTAATTATACCACAATATTCTTATTAAGAATTGCATAGTCTATAACGATTACCCAAGTCATAAAAGCTGGAAAACCATTTGGGTTAGCTCTCATTTTTATTGAGAGAATAATTAATCTATATAAGTACTTACTTTGTAAAAATTCAGTAAAATAAACCTTTTTCTTAACAATTTAGGTAAAATATTATTACACATATACTATACACATAAACATGTGCAAACTTATAAATAAATTTTAACATAAATAAAAGCTTTTATTTAAAAAATTTAGCCTGTTCCAGGTACAAAAATAAAAAATATCACTAATTTATTAAACAATAACTGGATCTCAATTGTTTTGTGTGCCCAAGTGACAAGATGTCCTGTCAATATGGGTAAAGTATTTACAGAAAAGGGGTCTAAGATATTTTCATTTGCCGTCTGCAGAATATCTTTTGATTCACGTAATCTTTTAGATGACTCTACATAGCAATTAAAGAATGCATTCCATTGCTCATGTGGCATTTTAGATCCTTTCCTTTCTGATGGACTTCACCAGTAAAAAAATTTATCTAGGTTAAAACTTCCCTACTGTGGCCATTGTAATTCCAAGTTGTTCTTGGTAAGGTTAACCTATTTTTGAAAAAATTCATAGGATCTGGGCCCACAGTATTTGTACACGATGTTAGCAGGTATCCTGGAGTTATAGTCCTGAAATCCTGACTGCTGATAGTTGGAGGAAATCATTTTTATTTGAGGCTTCTAACTGATCCAAACCAGTAACTTATCAATCTAACCCTGGGCCTAGTGCAGTAATAATTGTTCAACAAAAGTCAGAGAGCTCAAAACACAAATTCATGGAGTTCTAATTTAAGAGAGAATTGCCCAAGAACCCAATTGCTGCATGAGATCAGTGGGCACAATGGGCCTGGCGAGGTAACTTGGGTTTTCCCTCTGTGCTCCTGAGTATCAGTGAAGGTCTACTTCATTCCACTCTGATGCCAAATTGTTAAATAAAAAGCACTTTAGACAAATTTAGTAGAGTTCATTTGAGAAAAGAACAATTTATGAATTGAGCAGCACTTAAATCCAAGAGGGGTTCGAGGAATTTCAACTAGCAGCAAAGGAAGACTGTACATATAGATAGAAAAAGACAGAAAAGGGGTGTCTATATTTACAGAGGTAGAGAAACAGCTTGATAGGTAATAGCTTGACATTTTCCTTGTTTAGATGTGGTGAGATGAGTCATTCACTTTAAATGGATATGGTCTTCTCAGTTGGCATTCTGTAGTTGGCTAAATCTTGGCTGCTGAGATTACCTCAGGCTGGGCTACCTGTTTTAGAATATGCTCTTAACCTACTAAGTTAGGTTGCAGTTCTCTACATAGAAATTCAAAGAGGCAAATTTAGTTCAATAATCATGGTATAGAAAATCCCTGAATTAATGTTAAAATCAAATTAATAATAAGTAGTAAGAAAGAAAGAATGTCCGAAGAGACCAATCAGAAACCAATATAATTTTTAGATATAAATATATAGTAATTGAAACTCAAATCTCATTGGACATTTAACAGAATGTGTTAGATATAACTGCAGATATTTAGTAAACTGAAGTTCTCAAAAATTATAAAAGCTATAGCAAACACTGATATTTAAAGTTTAGAAATACAAAGAATACATTTCAACAGCACAATTTATCTTAAAATTATTGCATATTGAATGAGTAGAGGGGATGAGGAAAATAAATATATTATGCAGAATGTATACATATTATTCTCAATATCAAGTTCCACAAATGATTATACACACACACATACACACACACACACACACACACACACACACACACACCCCTAGGCATATTATAAATATAAAAGACAGCAAAATTAGAGCAAAACAAAAATAACAAAAATTATATTGTTAGCTGATTTCTTAATAGCAAGACTAAAATCAAATGGAATATGACCATTTAATTGAAGTGCTGAGAAGAGCAAAGCATTTTATTTACTTATACAATTACATGAAGGTAAACAGAGTTAAAAATAGGACAATCCTTTGGTGGATGAATGATATTCTACTTTCAGTATGTTTTTAAGCATATTATATTTATCCCATGAAACAATGCAGAATTATAAAGTCTTTTTTAAATGAATAGGGCTTTGTTCATGTTCAAAAACAATATGAAGAAAATGTTTAAGTCTTATTCAGAACTAGAAGTATGAAATATAAGGCATTTCCTGCCAGCCTAAGGTGTTACTTTAAAAGACATATGTTACTTCTAATTTTATTTGAACATAGCTCTTCTATATTTATGTAAATAAGCATTGGTTTCCCTATGATTACAGAGTATGGAATATCTATCTATCTATCTATCTAGATATTGATCCCTATAGATATATATTTCATGTGCAAGATGATAATGTGTGTGTGTATATATATATTCTCTGTAACATCTACATATATACACTGTAATATATACATACTACATTATATGTATGCACACACATATTTATATAAATATATGTATTTAAATTAAGGTAATGAGATTCAATATTAAGACATGGGTCATTTTTGTATATAAAATTGCTGTCTTCTAAAGCCTATCTATATTCATATGTGTTGTCTATTGATAAATGTATCTTCCTGTTAGAAGTGTTTACTTAAAGTCTAGCCAATATTTAAATAATGTATAAGTATTATTTATGGCTGTTATTTTCCCATTCCTGGACATGCTGCTCAGCTCAGTTTGGTAAAGTTTCAAAAGGAAGACAGAAAGAAAGAAGAAAGGAGGAAAAGTACAAAAGACATAGGGATAAAAATAAAGGTAGGAAATTAAGACAATTAAATCATGTTGCTGTGTTTAAAGTGGTGAGATATTATAAGTTATTTGATAATTTGACATATAAAGAAGAATTTGTAGATAGTAAGCTATTTTGAATATTGAATATTTATGTTACATTGAAAAAATATTTTTAAGGATAAAATCTGTACATATTAAAAAATATTTCAAGTAGAAAAAATAATAAACATATAACAAATAAAGGAAGGAAGATAGAAAATAAAGCATAAAAGGAAAACAGATGGAAGGAGAAATGGATATATGTGACATTGAATGATATATTACAATCTCATTTTAATATAGATGTGTATAAAAAGCATATGCATTTTTAGTGTTTAAAAGGCATATGTTTAGAACAGATGATGTCTTCCAATCATAGGCCAGATGACAAGGACGAATAGTTGTTAGTACTTGTTGAATGTATAGGAACAGCTGTGGATGCTGAGTGGAGTTGGTGGGAGTGGGGTGAAGAGGAGAAAAAGAGAGAGAAAGAAATTAGTTTCTTTTCAGCTGCATCTGTTACAACCATTCTAGCCCATGCACCAGACAAGTGAATGAAAAAGTCATCTTGCACATCAGGCTCAATTCTGCCTTCAGGGGACTTTAGCTCCAGGTGCCATTAGTCTGCAAGCCTTTGAGAAACTCCAAGAGATAACTGTCCAGCTGTGAATAGTCAATCATTTAAGATATTATGTTCTGTGGCAATTTGTCACATGGCATTAGACAATGAGAACCATCTGAAGGCATGCCTGAGGTTAGAAAACTCTAATTAATAATGGAATCAGTCAGGATAATTTTTTGCTTGTCTTAGTCGTGATGAGCAACCAGGGGCAAAGAAAACAGAAAGTAAGATGTACCCTCCATGTATGAATTTGGAAAAGGAAAAGTACTAAGAAAAAATGACTCCAAAAGAAATTTTAAACAAGGCTAATGTACTTAGATACTTAGTTTTTTTCAGTTAAATTCATTCATTTATTATTCAAGGTAACAGGCAATTAAATAGTATATAAATTATCTAAAGTATTTGAAGTATATAATAATTATGAATTGAAAATAAAGCTAGAAATATTTGAAATTTGACAATATAATATTTTTATTGTTAATTGCTTAAAGTTTTAATTTATTTGCTTACATATTCAGATGAAACACACATTTTAAGGCTAGTATCATAAATTCTGTATAGCCTATATAGTTCTAATACTCAGTTTTAAAACATTATTGAAAATTATGGATTATTTTATTTGTAATTAAAGAATGTTACAATTTTAAACCAAACACATGCCCATTAGAAATAAAATTTTCAGGTGCAGTTTTGAATATTCTTGATATTTAAAAAAATAGATTTAAAATATTAGTTCGGGCATGGTGGCGTTCACCTCTAATCCTGGCAATTTGAGAGGTGGAGATGGGAAGATCGTTTGAGTCCAGGTGTTCAAGGTTACACTGAGTCATGATTGTGCCATTGCGGTCCAGCCTGGGTGACAGAAAAAGATCCTGTCTCAAAACAACAAAAACATATTTAATATTAAACTGCTCCATAATTTCCCATTGATATTGTAATATTAGTGAAATTACAATATTTTTGATAAAATATAATTGTCTATATTATCAAATATTTTACAAGATGGATTTTTAAAATCCTTAATGTCATATTGACACATTTCAGGATATTTTAAGTATGTGAATTCTTGAAAATGCATTTAGCATTTCAACATGCATATTCATATCTCTTTTAACAATCTACTAATTTGGGTATTAGTGACCCATTTTCATGCCAAATTCAATCTTATTATTTTGGGTCATATTACTTGAAACATGTCAAATATTATTCTCATGTTTTCATGAAATAAAAGAAGTAACAACTGCTAAAGATGTTAAATTTCAAGTAGAAATTTAACTCTCATATATGCAAAATCTATTTCAATATGTTTGTGCATTTTGCCTTGAAAAACTATTTGACATGGATTTTTCTATCGACACTAACAGAGTTATAGACATATAAAAATGATCACCTACAACAGCAGGAATTTTGATAAAAAATGTACATCCTAATGAAGAAAGCCTAATGTCTAGTTTCATTATTAAAATGAATCTTATTATAAAATTGTTTATTACAAAAGCATTTAATAACGTCAAAGTATTAAAATATGATGAATTAATGTACGAATTGCTGAACTGGAAGAAATTGTCTTGGTTATTTTTTTCATGAAATTTCTACTTTATGAAGAATAAAATAATTTCTTGAACTGTATATCATGCAGTTTAAACACAGCATTTACTTCATATCTGTTTGATATAGAAGTTACTCATTTGTTTTAAATCTGGCTTTCTGTTGCTATTTTTTTTTAATAATTTAAGTTCTAGGGTACATGTGCAGAACATGCAGGTTTGTTACATAGGTATACATGTGTCATGGTGCTTTGCTGCATCCATCCCCCCATCATCTACATAGGTATTTCGGTTAATGGTATCCCTCCCTAATCTCCTCACCCCCTGCTATCCCTCCCTTAGTCCCCCATCCCCCGACAGGCCCCAGTGTGTGATGTTCCCTTCCCTGTCTTCATGTGTTCTCATAGTTCAACATCCACTTATAAATGAGAACATGCGGTATTTGGTTTTCTGTTCTTGTGTCACTTTGCTGAGAATGATGATTTGTAGCTTCATCCATGTCCCTTCAAAGGACATGAACTCATCCTTTTTTATGGCTGCATAGAATTCCATGGTGTATATGTGCCACATTTCTTTATCCAGTCTATCATTGATGGGCATTTCGGTTGTTGCCATTCTTATATAAACCTGCCCGCACTTGAATAGAATACGTTCAGACAGCAAAGAATGCCCAATTAATGAAGGAGTTGCTGCCTTACAGTTACAGAAGACTTGTAGAAGACCATGTGAGTAATCAACAGCCCACCTCCTGCCAGGTAAGAAGGTTCTTCACATATCATAACTGTATACTTATTCACCTTATTATTTTATTTTATTTTATTTTTTACTAGGCCTTTGGTCCAATAGCAGTGGCAACAATAAAATTGTAAAAGTAGTAACCTAAATTATATTTCTATAAGTTGTATCAACAATGCTTATTCAACCATGTTGTTTGGAAGGAAAATAAAATAATGTATAGATGGCCTATCAAGTACACACAAATAATAAAATCAACAGTGACTATCAGCGAACATTAGTGCAGTGTATGAGTGTAGCACTGCATCATTCAATCACATTTGTAGGGCGTTGTAAACATCACCACAATTGAGCCACAGAACTATTCCATCATCGCAAATATCCACCTTGTGCTATTCCTTTACAGTGTCATTCACCATCTTCTCACAGGCCCTAACTCTACCTTTCAGCAACAACTAATTTGTTTTTCTTTTCCATAGTTTGGTCACACACACACACACGTGTGTGTGTGTGTGTATATAAATAGGTTTTATTGCACTTTAGGTTCTGGGGTACATGTGCAGAACATGCAGGATTCCTATTTAATTTTAACAATAAATTTTTTATGTGTGTATTATTGATACTAGAATGATCCTCTACCAGCTTTTGTCTCTCTCATTTTTACTCATAGCTTCTCAAATTGAAATGCACAAGAACTGAATTTTATTTGTAATTGACAGTTTGATTAGCCACATGACATCCACAGCATTATTGAAAAGAGGGAATCTGCTGGTTCAAAATAGGCAAAAAAAACAAACAAACAAAAAACAAACATTTACAAAGACTTAAAAATTTTATTTATTAGAACATCTTTTAATTTTGCAAAACTCCCATTCATGTTAAAATTCACGTAAGCAAAAGGAAATAAGAGGGTCAATTGAAATGATGCTGAAATTGTTTGTTCAGTTTTTAATATTATATATACTTACAATTTATATTTGGCATCAATAGAATGAGGATTTGGAAATATGTGATTTCTTATCACTTCCAGGAACTAGTTTAAAAACCATGAAATGTGAAATCGGTATTTTAAAAAATTTTTATACTTTAAAATCTACTGTGTTTTTGGCATTACTGTTTTAGCAAAACACATAGGCATGTTGCTGGTTGACATTTATGTTAAACACAGACTTTCAAAAGTTAAAAGATGGAAATACTCATATTGATTCCTTGAAAAATGAAATACTTGAGATTAGATAAAGCCAGTGAGATAATGAGTCAGCAAATAGCAAATGACAGCTGTATAAGGAATAGTTATCCAAATTGCAGGGTATATTATTTAACATTCAGCATGTCACAAAACTTACTTGAAGTAATTTCCCTGATTAATTTATTGATACACAAAAAATATGGAATAAAAAAAGCATAACTTTTCATATACGACCCAATTCTAGTCTTTGACAAAGTAGGAAATCCTAAGTGAACTTTCTGATACAGACATTCATGTGTTTTTTCTGACTGACTTAGAAATAATTTATTGTTAAAATAATTCTGATGATATCTATTGCAATTTATTAATCACTGTCATTCTGTTATGTTCTAAAACACATGGCATTGGCTGTAAGGAGTATTGGTAAGATATATTGATTCTAGAGGTTGATTATAAAAGTTATTGCTTATCCAATCAACACTATTATAGTGATCACAATCTATATAATACACCTTTATGAATTTGATATTGATGAAGACATAAACTGAATTTAAAACTTTGAATTCCAGCAGCCGATATAATATACTTGAGTAAGTATATGCACAAATGAAAACAGGCAAAGATAATTCTCATTCTGATAAGTGCAATTATGCTGTTGGATTATAATGGAGGAAGAGATAATCTGCCTTTCTTGGAGTAAACATGGTTTAATAAACTTGGCTTTATTTATATCTATATGGAATAAGTGGCTTTGCATTTTCCCTTTGTTTATTCTAATTTGAAAAACAGAGATTTTCTACAATTACTATTCTTGTAATATTTTATTTGAATAGTCTTCACAATTTACCTATTTAATAACTGCTATATATATTATATATATTTAATAACTGTTCTTTACATATGTATGTGTGTGTATATATATGTATTTATGTGTGTGTGTATATATATATATATATATATATATACACACACATACATACACATATATATATGTAACCAGAAATATATTTATTGAAATCTTACCCTGGAGCAGCCATAAGTTCTTCCCTGCGCCTGCAAAACTTGAAATTTTAAAACCTAGTTCACAAATATCTACATATTTAAATAGTAAATAGTTTAATGTTAAAATAGTTTAATATTAAATAGTAAATAGTTAAAAAATACATATTTAAATAGTATTTAAATACTTAAAAGAATATTTTTCTATGTGTACTCTTAGGTGCTTCTTTCTTTCATATTGCAAGTCAAAACAGAGTTGTCACAACTGAGTATGTAAGCTATTTCCCATACCCATGTTCTTCTCCTAATATACATAGATATATACATGCACCCCCCCAACACACACACAGACATTTTTAAGGACAGCATCTTTATAATTCCCTATGTATTTTATTAATCGCAGTAAAATTGATTATTTTTTAACATAGCATGTTATTTTTTTCCAAAAATTATTTTTCTACATTTATTTTCCAGCCACATAATGATAGTTGCCACTATTAGTTTCCTAGACTTGCCAAAACAAATGACAAATATGGTGGCTTAACACAAAAAATACTTACTTTTTCACAGTTCTGGAGCCTAGAATCCCAAAATCAAAGTGAACAGTGTCATGTCCCTTCTGAAACCTCTAGAGAAGAATCTGTCTTTGTCTGTTGCTATCTTCTGATCACTGCCAGCAATCCTTGTCATTGCTTGAGGTGTAGCTCTATCACTTCAGTATCTGCTTGTGTCTTCAGATGAGCTTCTTTCCTGTGTTTCAATGAATATCCAAATTTCCTTCTTATTATATAATCACTAGCCATTGGATTTAGGACTTTATTTTTCCCTGTTAATGTAAATACATGTGCAAAGACCATCTTTCCAAATAAGGTCATGTTCACAGGAACCAGAGATTAAGACTTCACCATATACTGTTGAGGAATAGTATTCAACACAGTGAAATTGCTGACAGTGATATGAATACATGTAAAAAAAGAGTTGTCACAAAAATTTCAAGTCATGTTAAAAACCACAAAATATCCAAGTCAAATTGTCTCTCTTTGCAGACGACATGATAGTATATCTAGAAGACCCCTTTGTCTCAGCCAAAAATCTCCTAAAACTGATAATCAACTTCAGGAAAGTCCCAGGATAAAAAAATCAGTGTGCAAAAACCACAAGCATTCCTATACACCAATAACAGACTTAAAGAGAGCCACATCAAGAATGAACTGCCATTCACAATTGCTACAAAGAGAATAAAATACCTGGGAATACAACTAACAAATGATGTAAAGGACCTCTTCAAGGAGAACTACAAACCACTACTCAATGAAATAAGAGAGGACACGAACAGATGGAGAAACATTCCATGTTCATGGTTAGAAAGAAACAATATCGTGAAAATGGCTATACTGCCCAAAGTAATTTACAGATTCAATGCTATCCCCATCAAGCTACCAATGACCTTCTTCACAGAACTGGAAAAAGCCACCTTAAACTTCATATGTAACCAAAAGAGAGCCCACACAGCCAAGTCAATTCTAAGCAAAAAGAACAAAGTGGGAGGCATCGCACTACCGGATTTCAAACTATACTACAAGTCTAGAGTAATCAAAACAGCATGATACTAGTACCAAAACAGAGCTAGCGACCAATGGAACAGAACAGAGGGCTTGGAGGCAACACCTCACAGCTACAACCCTCTGATCTTTGATAAACCTGACAAAAACAAGTAATGGGGAAAGGATTCCCTGTTTAACAAATGGTGTTGGGAAAACTGGCTAGCCATGTGCAGAAAGCAGAAACTGGACCCCTTCCTGACACCTTACACTAAAATTAACTCCAGATGGATTAAAGACTTAAACATAAGACCTAACACCATAAAAACCCTAGAAGAAAACCTAGGCAAAATTATTCAGGACATAGGCATAGGCAACAACTTCATGACTAAAACACCAAAAGCATTGGCAACAAAAGCCAAAATACACAAGTGGGACCTAATCAAACTCCACAGCTTCTGCACAGCAAAAGAAACAGTCATTAGAGTAAATCTGCAACCAACAGAATGGGAAACAATTTTTGCAGTCTACCCATCTGACAAAGGGCTGATATCCAGAATCTACAAAGAACTCAAACAGATTTACAAGAAAAAAACAAACAAGCCCATTCAAAAATGGGCAAAGGACATGAACAGACACTTTATAAAAGAAGACATATATGAGGCTAACAAACATGTGAAAAAATGCTCATCATCACTAGTCATTAGAGAAATGCAAATCAAAACTACATTGAGATACCACCTCATGCCAGTTAGAATGGCGATCATTAAAAAATTTGGAGACAACAGTTGCTGGAGAGGATGTGGAGAAATAGAAAAACTTTTTACACTGTTGGTGGGAGTGTAAATTAGTTCAACCATTGTGGAAGACAGTGTGGTGATTCCTCAAGGACCTAGACATAGAAATTCCATTTGACCCAGCAATCCCATTACTGGGTATACATCCAAAGGATTATAAATTTTTTTACTATAAGGATACATGCACACGAATGTTCATTGCAGCACTGTTTACAACAGCAAAGACCTGGAACCAACCGAGATGCCCCCTGTTGATAGATTGGACAGGGAAAATGTGTCACATATAGACCATGAAATACTATGCAGCCATCAAAAACGATGAATTAGTGTCCTTCGTAGGGACATGGATGAACCTGGAAACCATCATTCTCAGCAAACTGACACAAGAACAGAAAATCAAACACTGCATATTCTCACTCATAGGTGGGTATTGAACAATGAGAACACATGGACACAGGAAGGGGAGCATCACACACTGGAGTCTGTAGGGGGTG